CCCTGAGTAACGATTCTGTGTCCCTGAGGAACGATTCTGTGTCCCTGAGGAACGATTCTGTGTCCCTGAGTAACGATTCTGTGTCCCTGAGTAACGATTCTGTGTCCCTGAGTAACAATTCTGTGTCTGTCCCTGAGTAACGATTCTGTGTCCCTGAGTAACGATTCTGTGTCCCTGAGTAACAATTCTGTGTCCCTGAGTAACAATTCTGTGTCTGTCCCTGAGTAACGATTCTGTGTCCCTGAGTAACGATTCTGTGTCCCTGAGTAACAATTCTGTGTCCCTGAGTAACGATTCTGTGTCCCTGAGTAACAATTCTGTGTCCCTGAGTAACGATTCTGTGTCCCTGAGTAACAATTCTGTGTCCCTGAGTAACGATTCTGTGTCCCTGAGTAACAATTCTGTGTCTGTCCCTGAGTAACGATTCTGTGTCCCTGAGTAACAATTCTGTGTCCCTGAGTAACAATTCCTGTGTCCCTGAGTAACGATTCTGTGTCCCTGAGTAACGATTCTGTGTCCCTGAGTAACGATTTTGTGTCCCTGAGTAACAATTCTGTGTCCCTGAGTAACGATTCTGTGTCCCTCAGTAATGATTCTGTGTCCCTCAGTAACGATTCTGTGTCCCTCAGTAACGATTCTGTGTCCCCTGAGTAACAATTCTGTGTTCCTGAGTAACAATTTTGTGTCCCTCAGTAACGATTCTGTGTCCCCGAGTAAACAATTCTGTGTGTCCCTCAGTAACGATTCTGTGTCCCTGAGTAACAATTCTGTGTCCCTGAGTAACAATTATGTGTCCCCGTGTAATGATTCGGTGTCCCTCAGTAACGATTCTGTGTCCCTCAGTAACAATTCTGTGTCCCTGAGTAACAATTCTGTGTCCCCGAGTAACAATTCTGTGTCCCTGAGTAACGATTCTGTGTCTGTGTCCTGAGTAACGATTCTGTGTAACAATTCTGTGTCCCTGAGTAACAATTCTGTGTCCCTGAGTAACGATTCTGTGTCCCTCAGTAACGATTCTGTGTCCCTGAGTAACGATTCTGTGTCCCTGAGTAACAATTCTGTGTCCCTGAGTAACGATTCTGTGTCCCTGAGTAACGATTCTGTGTCCCTGAGTAACGACTCTGTGTCCCTGAGTAACAATTCTGTGTCCCTGAGTAACAATTCTGTGTCTGTCCCTGAGTAACAATTCTGTGTCCCTGAGTAACAATTCTGTGTCCCTGAGTAACAATTCTGTGTCCCTGAGTAACGATTCTGTGTCCCTGAGTAACGATTCTGTGGTCCTAAAGTCTCTGTGGCCCTAACTCTGTCCCTAATACAGACAGGTCTGTCTCTCTTGAATGACCGGAGGCTAATGGAGAATTCTAAGATGGCCGCGATTTATAGCTCCACCATTACACACAGTGCTGGCTGGCTGGCTGCTGATTGGCTAATGCGATCACATGTCATGAATGAATGCATTATGGGTCAGCGCGCCTTGTCTGCGCGCCTTCCCAGAGATCCCCGCTCCGTCGCCACACATGTCGCCGCCATTTTTGGGAAAATTCGATTTGTGCATCCGAAGTTTGCTAATTTTCGGATTCGGCACGAATCGAATTTTTCCTGATCTTCGAAACGAATTCCACTTCGTCACGTTCGATTCGCTCATCTCTAATTACAAGCAACAAAATAAATGTACAATGAGGAAATAGTTTATCATCAGATATTCAGATACATATCAAATTAAATATTTGTTTTTTTCATTAGGAACCTCATATCCTTTTTATTGAGCATTAACTACTTGCCCCCGCCACTCTATAGTAACATTACTGCAACAAGGTGGTAGGGCTGTGCATAATCACATATATATATACGTGATTTGCATTTCCGGGTAGGGGGCGCAGGTGCGTGCGCCGCCCCTACCCATACTGCTATTGGCGGCTAGGGATGTCAATCACTGAGTCCTGGCCAGCAATAAACAGCAGAGAGATACAAAACAGCATGCCTCCCTAGTAAAACAGCACATATAGTAAAACATACACGGCACACAGTTAACCCTATGATCACCCCAGATGTTAACCCCTTCCTGCCTAGTGTCATTAGCAGAGTGTCAATACATTTTATTAGCACTGATCACTGTATTAGTGTCACTGGGGAGTCAGTGGCAGTTAGTCAGTTGCCACCCAGTGTCATAATGCCCGTCGCAGTCCCACAGTCCAGCTATAAGTCACTGATCGCTATTACTAGTAAAAGAAAATTAAAATTCCAGTGTATATATTGCCATTTGTAGATGCTATAACTTTCACGTAAATCAATTAATTTACACGCATTGGGATTTTGTTTAGCAAAGACATGTAGCAGAATACATTTTGGCCTACATTTATGACGAAATTTTATTTTTTTATGGCAAAAAAGTCAAAAAATATTGCTGGGTTTTTTTTGCAAAAATTGTCACTTTTTTTTGTTTATAGCGCAAAAAAAACCACAGAGACAATCAAATACCACCAAAAGAAAGCTCTATTTGTGGATAAAAAGGACATAAATTTCATTTATGTACAGCGTTGCATGACCATGCAATTGTCAGTTAAAGTAAAGCAGCGCCGTATCTCAAAAAATGGCCTGGTCAGCAAGGGGGGTAAATCCCCTGAAAGGCAAGTGGTTAATACTTACTTTGGCAATTGTTCTTTATATCTCAAATATTATACAGTATACAAATAAAATAAAATGATAAAATAATGTTTAGAAAAGTATGTTTGCTTAAATTGTTAGACAAAAAGCCAATGTGTGAAAGTATGACATTAAAGTTAAGTTCATTCACAAACATAAACAGTTAGAAACAGATGGTATGTAGCATGAATTACTGCCTTTAATAATCCTTTCTGAATTGTGCACTGCTCTGTTTACACTGATAATAACCAAAAGTTTCACATAAAAGGCACCTTCTGGTTTGCAAATATGAATTATGTTTTGCACTGTCATATTTTACTACAAGACAAAATTAATCTGAACTTGAACCATGCATTTTAACACAGAATTCAGAATTTCAATGCCTTTCTATTTTTAACTGAATTTAATCCAGACCGTGCTTAGAATGGAAACCATTACAAAAAACATCTTGCTTCTGCATCTTTGAACTTGAGACTTTGATGGCTGCCGACAAAGATGTTTTACTATATTTCTCTATTCTGTATATACTGTACAGTTTGTCTTGAAGCAAACATGTATCAACTTTATTAAGCTGGCCCTATCCAGCTCTCTTATATCTGTATGTTAGTAAGAAAAAAGTTATTTCAAAGGCTCATTTTCTGCAACATTTCACCTGCTTATTTCTGCCTTAGGACAAATATAGAAAACATTTGAGGAGAACTTGGCCAAAACAGCCTAAAAATTGGTAAATGATTTCTAAACATTGTTGCCATCAACACCGCAGTGTCAGTTTTGAGCTTTCATATGCAGTATGGTTTCCTGCTGGTACAAACAGGGAAATTATTTTCCCTCTTTGATGTCTTTTAGATAAAAGTCCAGACGGCAGTTGTTATAAGTATAGTTTTGTTAAGCAACCCATCAAGAGAATATGGGGAGTTATCTCTAGGGTCAGCAGAAAAAGGCAGAGGAAACATTTGATCTTCCTATTCTTTAGTGACCCAAGACAACTTTTCTGGACTGTGTCTCACTTTTCTATGCCTGTTACAGCCTCTGCTATGACCACTGCTTAGCTGCTGTCACTCCTGCCTATCTCTAGCTTCTCAGCATGTGTTCTGTCTGCTGCCAGCCCTGATCTCAGTCTGCCCTTGGAATACTCTATGTCTGCTATCTGTCCTGACCATGGCTTGTCCCTGGATTACTCTCTGCCTTCCACCAGCCCTGACTTCAACCTGTCCTTGCATTACTCTCTGTCTGTTCCCAGCCCGAATCTCAGCCTGTCCATAGAATACTCTTTGTTGCCACCTGTCCTGATCTGTGCTTGTCCCTGGATTATGGTACCAAATGTTGCCAGCCCTGACCCTTTAAGACTCTGAATGACTCTACCCTCTATGTTCCTGTATTCACTATCTGCTACGGTTGTCTGATACCCTCTACTACTGTAGGTTTCTCTTTCACTTTTCTTGAAAACTAGTAGGATTTGACAGTGCTGGAGTTCCCAGGAAAAAAAACATTAAAAAAAGGTAAGCTGCATATTTAATTTTTATTTAAGTTTGTGCTGTGTGAATGATGTAGTGATGTAAATGTTTATGTTCCTCTCATAGATCTGTTCCTGACTTTACAGCCTCTTATCTGGTTCCGCTGTCTCATTTTGTGGTGATCCCAGTGTGAGAGATTCTCCTGGCGGAGTGTGCTTTCCCCTAAGTCAATTTCCATCGAGCACTGGTATATCGAGTTGTAGATGGTGAGCACATTAACAGTAGACTACTATACTCTCTTACAATTGTGGTGAGTCAAATTATAAAAGAAAATTGGGATGGTATGTAGTGTGGATATATTTTTCTGTTTTTGCTTTGGAGACCTTCAGAGGCTGCACAAAGTCTCCAAAGATGTGGAGTGGATTCTTTGTGTTTGTTATCACACTGAGTGGAGGGGAGCCAACCTAAGTGTCTGACTGGTCAACAGGTGGCTAAATATCCCCAGATCTGTTTTTTTATTAAGTGTGATGGATTGATAGGCTGTATTTTATCATAATACATGTGAGTTCACATATGCAGTATATTTATGTAGAATATTAGGTTCTCCCATACCATTTTTGTAAGATTTTATTTTGATTGGATGTTGGTGACTTGGTGTGGCTACTTTAAGGATGGTTCAAAACTGATTTCTTTCCACTCCATGACTGAAAAGAGCCTATTTAGTTGCTTAAAATGTTACAGCTTTCTTTGGAGGAATATATACTTTAACTTGCTGATGTCTTCTTGCACCTTAAAGTGTTACTAAACCCACAACAGTAAAATCAGTCTGTGTATGCAGTACAGCATGCTTGATATACTCACTGTGGAACCTAAGGGGTTAATGCTCTGTATTGTGTAAAAAGAATGTTTGATCCTGTCTTCTCTGATACTCCCCTTCTTCCAGTGCCCCCCTCTTATCTCCTGATAAGACATATCGTGTAGAGACACTGCACATGCTCAGTTTGATGTGTATTGCTAGAGAGGTTTTTTTTTTTCTTGAGAGAGTGCATGTGATCAGCACAAGGCCAATCAGCACTGCCAAGACAGAGTTCAAGGGTTCTGCATCCTCACAGAGAAAACTCCTACTACAAGCATTAACCAGTGCTCTGCTGAACACTGATAAAAGTCAGATGACTGCTCTAACTGCTGATGAGAAAAGGGATTTAGCTGTTTATATTTACTAAAATAATTGCATTTCCATGCTCTGTGTACTGTTGGAGACCAGTTATAGTGAATGTGGGGTCCTGGGTTTCATAACACTTTAATAAAGAGCTAGATGGATTGAATATTTTGATATACAAGTCCGTTGTGCAGATGACTTTCTGCTACATATAGGTAATAACTTGGATACGCAAAACCATACACTCATAGAAGCCACTTTACACTGCATTCTCTTGATTAGGAATTTAACCACAACTGATCCCACCATCTCTGTGATGCTACTTATTATGGGTAATAACCTATCCACTATGAAAAAAACATTCCAAGCCATTCTTTGTCCAGATTCGTTCAGATTGAAAAACTTCACTAGATCTGACTGTTCAAACATTTATATCAGATATATATGAATTCCTTGGTTAACTTTCTAAGAGCCATCTAAATCAGACATTTCCTAACCTCCAAAGTGCAGAAACCACATGCTTTTACTTTTGTATCCATTTTCGAATGTTTCTGAACTAATACCTCCCCAAAATGTTTTCAATGCTATCAAGTAGATGGATCTCTGACCTGCATTTTTATGAATGGCCTCCAACATGCTCTTTCTGGACCACTGTCTGGACAACTGTCCTGAAATTATCAAATATAGTTGTGGGATGAGAAATGCTAAAATTTATTCACACCTTTGTGAGGTTCCCAGACACACAGATACAAGATGACCCTTTTCATCAACCTACCCAGTGCAGCTAGAGTTTGCAAACCCCTAATTTGGACACAGCTTTCCCTTCCAAAATACCAATTTAATTCACCAAAATAAAATGTAAACAAGACATGGACGATCTTACTGTATCTCTTGGAAATCAGAGTAATCAATTCAGGAAATACTGACACCGTTAGATTTAGTTTACAACTACAAGGGAATACAAAGCTCCATTACAATCCTATACAAACAAAACCTAAGGCATGATATGCCATCTACCTCATATTAGTGGAAGGTGTGTTCCTTCGCCAGTGGCTGGATGTCAGAGTGTGGACAGATGTTGCATGCTTCTGCTCACCTTGAATTTCTCCACCACCTTTTCCCCCAATCTCATTAGTACATATGCACAGAAAACACATTGTCAGATGACATTTTTCAAATATGCAAATATAAATACAAATGTCCAGTGTTTATGCAAATATTTTTATATCTAAACAAACTTTTTTCTTTGGTATATCTGTTTACCTCTATTGCACACCAAAATCCTACACCATCACACTCTTTAACACCATGGATGTACTTGATTGTTTATCAAATGCTCTGTATCTACACTGTAATATGCCCAAGCTAAAATAAAGAACATAAAACAAAAGGAAATTAAAATACATCAATACAACTGTTTTACAACAATAATAACCTAACTTGCAAAACAAAAAAAATACAATGCCTATGTTATGTAAATAAATATTTTCTGATAAGTTTCAAATTTAATGTGCTTTAGAGCATGAAGCCAACTTATCTTCAGAATGTTAAGAAAAAAATTCTGAAACTATAAGGGGAAGGGGCTGGAGTGGTGATTTAGATCGATAATGACAAAAATATCACTATTCAGTGCAAATTAAATGAAAGTCTATTATTTCTAAGTATAAAATATCTAAAAGATCTATCTTTAAAGCAGATAAGATGAGCTGTGATTAAAACTATGAATAGAATTTTGTATCTGTGATTAAAAAGCAGGAAGCAAAAAGCAATTTCTCCTTATGTGGGGCTGTTCTTTTCATTTCAAATTATAGAGCACTATACTAGATGAAATCGTCAGCTAGTATGGTAACCAATCTTGTATCATTTCACAGGTACTAGTGTCAAGATGAATTTTTTAATAATGTGGCTGGTTTTATAGGGATATTGTACAGTATGTCTGCATATTGCAGAGTGGCTTTAAATAGGTCGGGTTTCTGAGATAATGGCAAAAACTGTAAGTGCACTTTCAGAAAATGATTATATATGTGAAAACTGAATGCCACTGTCATGTAAAACCAAAGAAATTTCATTGGCAATGGCACTTTGAAAAAAAAAAAAAACATTTCCATGAGATATTCACAACTATACAAGTGCTCACACAAATGCTCCAACTGCAAAGCCATTGAAAAGTTTCATTCTACAGGAAAAAAACATAAAAAAAAGTGTGTGTGTATGTATGTATATGTGTGTATATATATATATATATACTGTGTGTGTGTGTGTGTGTATATACATATATATATATATATATATATATTTATATATATAGTGACAGTGTGACGATCTGTCACCCAGGATTCTCAACTAGGCAGGTTGAGGGGCTCCAGGGTAAGTGTTTGATACGGAGGAAAGTGGCTTTTCACTTTCCTCCTTTGTTTGTAAGGTCTGTTTTGGGATCTGGAGCCGGGAGATTTCAAAGAGATCTGGGAGGGATGAAATCTCCAATCCTGGGACCAGGTTTTGGGAATGGCCAGGAGACTGATTGCACAGGTGTGTGCAGGCCTTTTCAGAAAGTCAGGATCAGAGTTCTGGGCTCCACCCCGGCAGCTAGGAGTCAGCAGGGCTCCACCCTGGCAGACGGGAGGTCTCTGCCTTGGAGTCAGGTGGAAGCCAGACTAGCTGTGTGCTAGTGGCTATAATTTGGGAAGAGTCTGCAGGAGACAGACATTGAACTGTGTGTAAGCCAGGAGGCTGAATCGTTGTTTTGTTGGTGGATACCCCTGCGTGGGAAGCATTATGTTATGGGGCATTTTCTGTAAATAAAATTGGGCAAAAAGGCCCTTAAAGAAGCGAGTCGCTGTGTGCTTTAAATGAAAAGCTCTACCACTTTGAAGCGAGTTCCCACATATGGTGGAGGATGCGGGCAGAATTGGAGATCCCGGCGATTGAAGTAAGTTCATCAGTTATATGAACTGTTTGGTGCATAAGTCTGCACTATCTGTGTGTGCAGGTGAGGAGAACCTGCTAAAGAAAAGGACTTTGCCTTAAAGAGACAGTGTTCCATGTTGTTGCTGAACTGTGTAACACACTGCTGTGTGCGTGACTGCAAAGATGGGGCGGTCAAAACAGAAAAAGGAAGCAATGTTTGCTGAGATGAGAGAGAGAGCCCTGTGGCTTGGGGGTTATATACCGCATGCCCCAGCCAAGCCGGGAAATTTAGATGTGGGTGAGTCTGCTGTGGACTGGTGCAAGCGGCACCTGGCAGCATTGAACCAACCTAAAAGAGGAAAGCAAGCCAACCTTCAATGCAAGGAGAGAGCTGCAGGATGTCTGTACCTGGGAGAGGGGTGTTGTTGCCCCTGGCAACGCTGCTGCAGTTAAACCAGTAGCTGTTGTGAAAAATGTGAATGTGTCACGTCTTGAGAGTTGGTCCAGCAGAGAGAAGCCTATGCTAGGTGCAAGGAGAGGAACTGACCAGAGGCCAGGACCAAGAGTGAAGGCCCATAGCAACACAGAGGAGGCCAGTCGGGCTGTCTGTGTACGGGGGGCTATGTCGTACAAGGATCATGGCAAGTGGCATCAAGCGGAGCCAATACAGCATGTTAGCCAGCGAAGTTCTGCTTGGAGAGTGCAATCTCCCATGGCGACCGGAGAAAAAATATTGCCTGGAAGGAGGAGCTGCATTGGAGATGTGGCTCAGTATCCTAATAAAGAGAAGTGCAGAAATATACCCTGCGTGGAATGTGGTCAGTGGGGGCATGGGATCTTTTCCTGTCCCAGACTCTGGAATACCGCTGATACTGGGCAAATATCTACAACTGCAAGCCCAGATTCTTATTTTAAAATGTTGGCAGCCACCTCTGGCAACAGGGAGGAAGTTCCTGTTGGGCCTGCAGGGGGGTGCCAGAGAGTCCATGGAGCCTATGGGGGCATCTGTTACTTCACCTTGGGGCAAGGGAAACGTTGCCAAGGAAAGTGCAGTTGAGGATGCGTTTATGAGACAACACACTCAAATGAAGATGGTGACACCTACTACTGTGGTGGGTAAGACTGTGTGTGATAAAACCATGGCTGGGACTGTCATGTTGAGAAGGACTGGTTATGAGACTGTCCATTCTGATGTAGGAGTGACCCCAGTTAGTTGGGCCACTGAATGTGCTTTTGAAAGTGACTTTTCCCTGTGCAGTGCCTTGTACAGTGGAGAGTTAGGGGTTGAAGTAAAACCTGTGCATGGTTCTCAAAAAGAAAGTGATGTCACTAATGTGTGCCAGTCACAGGTTGGTAGTGGGATAGTACAGCCCACAAGAGCTACAAATACTGATGATGATGTTGATGTGAAATGTACTGCTGTTGGGAAAACCCTGAGCTCTTGCAGTGCAAAAGCTGTAATTAAAGATGGGTCATTTCCCATAGCAACTGGTGGTAAGACAGCACAGGGGTCCTTAGACATCTCCAGGGGTCTCCGTGTATTGGAGCCGGAGGTTGCCCTGGACAACTGCGACTTCACTCTGGTGGAGCAGAGTGGAACTGCACCTTGTCATAGGAGTGTGTTGGTGCAGTCTAACAATACGGAAAGTGTTCAGGTGAACAGCGGGTTAATACAGCCTGGCAAAAATGCAAATGTGTGTGTAATTCAGGAAGCACCACCAGAGCAAAGTGGTGGATGTGAGGTATTGCAACCTGCAGTGGGAAAACAGGTGTTACCCAAGTCTGATATGATCCAGAGTGATTTGTGTCATGGATCTGCAACTAAGCCCGTCTATTCTGTGTCTCCTTGGGCGGATGGATCGGTGCTGAGGAGCACTGGTGAATTGAGCACATATACAATGGATTGGGATAGTTGGGGTAAAAGACTAATCTCGTTGATAGATGAGGCTTTTATGCAAAAAAATAAGGTGGACACTGTTTCTGCTGTGCCAGCAGGAGGATCTATAGAACGGCCTATAGATAAGGGCGTGCATACAGCAGAGACTTTGTCTGTGACCCACAAAAGTGATGTTGGCATGGAGTGTCAAAATGATGTTGTCACTGGGAATGATCAGGGGCAGCTTGTGGATGCTGAGTCTGAGATGTTGAGAGTGAGCC